TTTTTTTTTTTTTTTTTTCTTTTTTTCTTTCCTTTTTTTTTTTCCTTTTTTTTTTTTTTTTTTTTTTTTCTTTCCTTTTTTTTTCTTTCCTTTTTTTTTTCTTTTTTTTTTTTTTCTTTTTTTTTTTCCTTTTTTTTCTTTCCTTTTTTTCTTTCCTTTTTTTTTTCTTTTTTTTTTTTTTCCTTTTTTTTTTTCTTTTTTTCTTTTTTTTTTTTCTTTCCTTTTTTTTCTTTCCTTTTTTTTTTCCTTTTTTCTTTCCTTTTTTTTTTTTTTTTTTTTTTTTTCTTTCTTTTTTTTTTTTCTTTTTTTTTTTTTTCTTTTTTTTTCTTTCCTTTTTTTTTTCTTTCCTTTTTTTTTTTCTTTCCTTTTTTTTCTTTCCTTTTTTTTCTTTTTTTTTTTTTCTTTCCTTTTTTTTTTTTTTTTCGCTTTTTTTTTTTCTTTCGCTTTTTTTTTTTTTTTTTTTTTTTTTTTTTTTTTTTTTTTTTTTTTTTTTTTTTTTTTCTTTCAACAGTTTTTTTCTTTCCTTTTTTTTCTTTCATTTTTTTTTTTTTTTTTTCACAGTTGCTCAATACGTTCTTACGCTCATTTTGAATTTTTACTCCTGCCAATTAACTCTCTTCTGCTAATTCCCAAATCTTTCGAGATTTACCTTTCCCCAACACTATTCCCCCACCAAATTGATTTTTATTGTCGGTCACTTTTCCCCGCTTATCGGCATTTTTCTAATATACAACTTTTCTAAAGCATGTCCTCGGTACACTGGTTATAATGCTGGTTTAACAAACAAATTATCGTAGGTTTGATAATTATTAAGGGTTCCCAAAATACAGTTGTGTTAAAATTGTCACAAAGCCAACAAACTTTCTCTTTATTTTTTTTCTTGCATCTTTTTTTTTATACTTGTTTTCTTTACGCTTAATTCTGCTTTTCTTTCTTGCATTCATTTCTATATCACTGTTTCACTTATTCGCTTTCTATCTCTTTTTTCTTTCTCACTCTCACTCTCATGTTCCCCACTCTTTCATAGTTCTTCAACTTTCTTCTTTCTAACATTTTCATTCTCTTATTTGGTTTCTTTTCTGTTTCTTTCCCTCATCACTTTCTCTTTCTTTATCTCCCGCTATCTTCCATGTTTGACATAACATTTCCTTTTCATACAGTTACTTGTTGATCTTTCATCTTCTTCTTAATCTTTAATCAGATTTTTATTTCTGTTCTTCTTTACCGATTCTTTTCTTCTCTTGTCCTTTTTCTTTTCTTTCCTTCTCGCGTCTTTTCTTTCCTTCTCGCGTTTTTTCTTTTCTTCTCTCGTCTTCTCTTTCCTTCTCTTGTCTTCTCTTTTCTTCTCGCGTCTTCACTTTTCCCTTCTTTTCCATTCCGTTCTCCTGAATTCATTCTTTTTCTTAATCGCCTCTGTACTTCCTCTTCTTGATTGTATCGTCTGTTGTTTCCATTCCACGAAAAGTTAAACTTTTCCGTCGCCAGTTTTTTTTCTTTTTTTTTTTTACTCCCTTCTTGTCCTTTTTCAATTTCTCCTCCTCTTTTTTTCTACCTCTTCATTTTCTTTTTCTTCTAACACACTCACAATCACCTCACTGTTCAGTCTTCTCATTGATTCCGTCTTTCAATTTTTTTCTAATTTTTCTCTCTCACTCCCTCTCTCTCTAGGTTATTGGTTTCTCATCTTTTCCCTAGTGCTTTCTTTCATTACTGATGAAAAAAAAAGACATCTTAAAGTTTCACTCGTAAAAATATTCTTCTATTAAAATTGTCGCAATTTCATTACATCTTTTTTGCTTTCATTTTATTTCCTTCGGTGTTTTTTTTTTTTTTTTCATAATAATTTTCTCATTCTTTCTTTCACTCCTCTCCTTGTGCTTCATTAAGTTATTTCTACCTATCACATATTTTGTATTAGCTCTATCTATCTATATATATATATCTATCTATCTATCTATATATATATATATATATATATATATATATATATATATATATATATATGATAGAGAGAGAGAATAAATAAGTTCGAACTCTTATCATCAAACTTGCTTTCGCAGCGGTAAACCCGCACATCAGAAACAAGATAAATAAATAAATTTATTAACAGATACACATTATATATATATATATATATATATATATATATATTTTATTCTATCTTTTAGTACATTGACCTATCTGTATTTAATTGCTTAAAGACTGAGTCATCTGATTTCATTTATATATATATATATATATATATATATATATATACGCGCACACACTTTTTCCTACCGCCTTATTACGTTGGCGTATGTGTATTTAATTGCTTATTTCGCTATTTATTCACCTCATTATTTTCTTTCTTTCTTTTTTTTTCTTACTTTCGCTTTTTTCCAACACTATCACACACACACAATATATATATATATATATATATACACTTTTCGAATCATTGATTTGTTTACTTCTGCCTTTTTCAATTTTTCTTTATCGCTTTTACCCTTTCTTAACGTTTTCTTTCACCCCTCTTTTGTTGCTTACCCTTTCTCCTCTTTCTTCTGTTCATTTTATGTACAGATATATCTTTACATTTTCTTTCTCTTTTCTTCTTACTTCCCACTATTTTCTTATCCATTATAGATATCAATCTGTAATTAATTTTCTCTCTCTCATCCGTTTTTTCTTTTCTTGTCTCGTTTCCCTAAACCTTCCTTTTATTTCCTTATTGCTCTATCTACATCACCTGAATTTCTTTTCTTTTCTTTCCCTCAGTGTCCAGATTTCTTCTCTTTCGTCTTTCTTTGCTTTCTTCGCTTTCTTTTTTTTATTTTATTCGCCTGATCTTATACACTCTCTTTCTTATTTATCTGTTTCTAAAAACTATTTTCCTTCTTTTTTTTTTTTTTTTATTTTAACATCCCTTCTGTTTTTTTGGTTGGCTTTTAGCTTTTGACACAGCTTCCGCTATCTGCTCTTTTCTTTCTTTCATCTTATTACAACTTTCTCTTAATAGTTCTCTCTCTTGAAATTGCTGTCCTCATCCTACAACATATTCTCCTCCTCCTCCTCTTTCTTTTCCAATATTTTCATCACCTACTCTCTTTTCCTTTTAGCTTGAACAGCTACTATTACTATAACCACGGCTATTTTCTCGCTTACGTCTGCTTACAAATAATAGTAGTCTTAATATTAACAACAGGTTTGTCATTATTTCTAATGCTAACTGTAGTGGAATATCTATCAGAAGACAATAGTAGTAATAGTATTGATAACAGCTGTGGTAGTGGCAACGACTATAGTCATCATAGTAGTGGTGATATTAATAGTAGTAGTAGTAATATTAGCAGCTTTGATAGTTGCAGTCGCCATCATCGAGGAAAACAACCATCAAGCTGTATGCTGGCGACGAGCATTGAAATGATGATGACGATGGCACTAATGACGTCGACGGCGCTGACAACGTTTAGAGCAGTGGTAAAAACGGCGAAAGAACGCAAGAGGAAGTGATACACGAAGGGACGGAGAGGGTTTCAGAGGGTGCATCATACAAGTGTCACTGACACGGACACCGACTGACACGACTCTTAGCGCGGAACCAACGGACGGAACTTCTTACCTTCCAAAAACACCCCTACCCCGCCGACATTGTATTGGTACTTTCACTTTCATTTCTAAGCGTATTGGTATTTTCACTTCGTTTTCACTCTTATTTTTGTTTAATTTTCCTACTTTTTAATTAACACCTGCTTGTTGTATGGCAGAAAGCATTGCTATCATACAGAAGAGCTTTTCTAATTTTTTTTTTTTTAAGTCCAGCCTATCTGTTTATTTGTCTTAGACGCACAGAAGTACCATCGGTTCTCCCTTATTTAGCGCACACACCTAAGTGACCCATAGGCACACGCATCCGCCTACACATATATCTATTCACTAAAACTTGTGTATACATATTAGAATACCAATTTTCTTACAAAAATAAAAACAAGCGCACACCCAACCACACCCACACTTTCACATATATAAAGGATTACTGTTCGTGTTCTGCGTTTTGTTGTCTAATATTTCTGTGATGCAAACGGATTTCGTAAGCACACCCTGACCAGTCGGCAAACGTGGAAGAATGAAGGAACGAATGAAGGAGTGGACGAACGAATAAGTGCGTGTGTGAGGAGAAGAGGCGCGGAGATTATCGAAGAGTACGTGTCGGAACCACGCATATTTCAGAAAATTCTTTACCTGAACAGTGAAAATTGATACAAGAATAATTAAGAAAATACAAGGGAATAATAACAATAATAATAAGAAAAACGTTGGAGGATTTGGATTACAAACACATGTCGACATGTGAACTTTGTTTACAATCAAAGACGTGGATTTTTTTTTTTTTTTTCAACGGAGGTAAAGATCCAATTTCGATGGAACGAAGCCAACTGTTGCTACTATATGAAAGCGAATGAAAGAAAAACGTGTATAAAATTGTGTATTTTATTAATTTCGTTGTTTGGATGAATTAATGTTTTTTATCCGTTAGTTTTGTTTGTAAAATTCTAGTATTGATTATTCTTTTAAACGTTGAAACAAAATCTACTATAGGATTAATATAACCCCCACCAAGACAAGTGGTTAAAAATATTGAACATAAAATGCACTAAAAAGAAAATTTAATAAATCCATACGTTTGTGCATATCCATAAATACGTATGCACATGTAAGTAATATATATATATATATATATGTATATGAGTAAAATAACCAAAAGGAAATATGAAAAAATTGATTCACGGTTTCATTATTTTTTTTTAAATAACAAAAATTAATAATTTATTTTATTATTTGCTGAAATGAAATGTAAAAAACCTCAAACATTTTCAGTGGGCTCATGGAGATACGCATTTTGTGATGTTAACTTACATCGAAAATCTAAACTGCTTGACCGTTTCCGGTCATCTGTCTTTATCTCGCCAATTCTACCACTTTCCCTGCATTCGAATACTATACGGACAGAGGCAGGCCTTATGACTGCACGAATAGCCGCAGACCCCTACAGCTGTAAATCTCGCCACACGACGGCGGGCACTGGCGGCGGGCACAGCACCAGCAGCAAGACCCAGTCGATAGAATGTCGATGCAATTCTAGTGTTCAACCGACCGTCGCAGCACAGACAAACCCTGGCAGAATTCTTGGACCGACAAATCCGTTATCATCCAGCACAAGCCCAAACTGCACAAATAAAAACAACAGCGAACGTGAGCCCTCGGCAAACAGCATGTTCGGGGCCCGCTCATGTGATGACCCAATGACATGCTGGTCGCCGTCCATACGTGCTTCCCTGTCGGTTTTATGCAACCTTTCAAAATTGAAAGCGATTCGCCTGCCATCAGGATCAACGTGTACTTCATTGTCGGTCTTTTCATCGCCTTGCAAATTTTCATCGGGTTTTCCTTCCTACCTTTTCATGTCTCTGATTGTTACTCTTTTGGTTGCATCTCTACTCGCACAGCCAGCACAGGCTTTAAAACACAAAAACATCACAATAGGGGCTATATTCCCAATGGCTGGGAGCTGGGCCGGTGGGAAAGCCTGTTACCCTGCCGTGGAGATGGCACTCTTTGACATTAACAACAGGCTAGACGTTCTACCAGACTATACTTTACAGATGGATTACAAAGACAGTCAGGTAAGTCTAGACAAAACAGTTTGGAATTTGAAATTATTGTCTTTCTTTCTCCTCTGTCTTTCTTTCTCCTCTGTCTTTCTTTCTCCTCCGTCTTTCTTTCTCCTCCGTCTTTCCTTCTCCTCCGTCTTTCCTTCTCCTCCGTCTTTCCTTCTCCTCCGTCTTTCCTCCTCCTCCGTCTTTCCTCCTCCTCCGTCTTTCCTCCTCCTCTGTTTATACACAACACAGTCATTCTTTTAGGTGACTAATACAATGGGAGACCTTAATAATCGGGTAAGGCAGGGTTTGTTTTTTGTTTAGTATGCGATGAAAGGGTGGATGTTAATAAAACTAATTCATAAATCATTTAAAAGGTCAAAAAGCGAAATTAATAAGCGAGGTGGTCTTAATTAACTTAGGTAGGTTGTGAATTTTTCTCAAAAACGTAAACCTCTCCCTAAGTCGATTAGCCATGTAAAGGTATGTATATAATAATCTTATGTACGTGTGAATATTATTTCATGAAAATAAAACCTTTTCCACCAGTGACTTTTTATTACACACACAAGGCTCAAACACTAATATTCCATGGTTATAATTTATTATATTGGAATCGTAATCACGATCCAATTCATCAGACCTACAAATTCAAATATATATATATATATATATATATATATATATTGCTTTCATACCACAAAATGAATAGATAAATTTGAATAAACATTTTTTTTTTTTTTTTTTTTTTTTTTTAAACCTAGGCCATCTTCTTCAGGGACCGATCGTTGGCATAGCTGAAGTAATGAAAATTAGACTGCAAATATACGAGCAAATTATTTTCCTCATATTTGCAGTCTAATTTTCATCAGTCCCTGAAAGTGTTGGAAGTTACCCCTGTCCCTCACCAAAAAATGTTTTATTCACACACACACATACATACTCCTCACCAAGAAAATGAACACAAAATTGTTTTTTTATTTTACACACACACACATATATATATATATATATATATAAGAATAATAAATTTAAGAGGAAAAAAAAACTATTCTTTTTTGAGGGACTTTATTAAAGTGTTCCATGTGATTCAATTCACATTTGATTTTTTTTAATTTTACATTGTAGACGTTTCACGACTGTATCACTTCTTTTTAAGTTGCAGACATGTATAAACAAATTCAATAAGGTCAGTAAGAGATTCTTCTTCAATTTTTTCTCATTCTTATATACAGACGATATTTTTTTGGGGGGGATGGGGTGCGCTGACAAAGAATCGTCAACCAACGAGGACTTCAATTCAGCAAGTCGATATTCACGTGTGAAATTCTACATTATTCCCCAGAGACGTTTGCAACAAAAAACCGTCTTAATCACCTTTGTAAAATACCAGTGACAAACAAATCAGGATGGCATTTACAGTAAAACTAGATTCAGGAAAGTTAAGGTTCAATAATTTGATTATATTTTCATAATGAAGGGATTGACATAAGGCCATTTTCAAAAAATTTGAAAATTCAATTAAATACCCGTCTTTTTCTTTTTTACATTTATGAAATGCATTTTATTATTCAAATGACAAATTAAAATTATAAGAATCGTTTGTTTGAACATATTACACACAATGTTCCGTATATATATATATATATATATATATAAATATATACATAAAGGTTTGTTGTAAACATATTATATATATATACATATATATTTATAATATATATATATATATATATATATATATATACATATATATATATATATATATATACACACAAATATTATATAATATATATATATATAATTATACATATATATATATTGCATACATATATATATATATATATATAATATACACACACATATGTGCGTGATCTGCATAAGTAAATAACTTTTCTCCTCTCTCCTACATAATGCACACTGTATATTTTGTGTTATATATGAGGAAGAATTTTTCTCTATTTATCATGTAAATATTCTGTTGTTTGGATGTATCTCTGCATCAGATTTTATATATATATGCGCGCGCTGATGTCTAAGCATCTTGACGTTATAAATCTTATGTTATGCAAGATGACACAGTAAGCTTCTAATTATATAGTGAATAATAATGTCAGTGAAACTACATATATATATATGCGCGCGCGCACACACACACACAAACACAAGTGTGTGTAAAGATTGCTAGGAAATGTTTCCATAATAATAACACTTCGAGCGTAAATTCCAGTATAAAGATGTTAGCTTTTTCGATGAAAATATCCAATTCTTCATTGAAGGTATACATTTTAAAATAACCAATAAATAACTTAGTTACCGGAATTGATTTTTATTCGGTTGATTTTTAAAGTTTAATCAAGCTCTATAGTTACACCTTTCAGGCAAAGTCTGCTCAAATAATACGGAAATGGCGCTTTTCGCGTTTTTCAGTTTTCCCTCACCTTTCTTCGTGAAATAATCTCTTTAATATATAAATATTATCTTATATTTAATCAAATAATTATTCCTTTAACATATCGTGAACGATTATTTAAATTATGTGGATTTGGCTAATTATAAGTTTATGTAAATACTACACAAACACGACGTTTACGGACTTGTGGGTTATAAGTAATATCCAAAATTCTATCTGAAACTAGACATAAGTACACTTTTATAATAATAATAATAAATAGTTATAGGTATGTCCAGAAATGATATAGATATATAGGTGAGTATTAGGAAATCTCTCTCTCTCTCTCTCTCTCTCTCTCACACACACACACTCACACACACACACACACACACACACATATATAACGCATGATTCATAAAAGAAATGTTTGGCAAAGTACTTCTGTTAAACATTTTTCGTTGTTTAACTTGTGAACAAGATATTTTGTATATTGAGGCGAGAGATCGAATATTTGTAGCAATTGTTCAATTTACTTGTTCGTTTCAAGCGCTTTCGGCGAATCCATTATCGATTTTCAAGGATTTTGGTTGTATTTGTTAGTCATTTTTAATCAATCTTCTATACGCCTCTCCTCAAAAATGTGTGTGTGAAAAATATATATAAGCATAATAATTTTAAAGTGTTATATTTATGGGTAAAAGTGCTAAATATTCGAGAAAGAGCGTGTGTGAAGATTGCGTTCAAACATGAAACAGACTATCGCCACTCTGACTTCAGTGTCCACTCATATAGTGACGTTAAGCGTGCAGGATAAACATAAACAAATTCGAAAAGTATACATTATATATTATAAGCGTCTCAGTTTATATGAACATATACAAGTTTAGTTCATTTTACAGGGTGTGTGAGCATAGAGATATATATTTAAGTGAACAAAAAAACAAACCCCAAAACGATAGTGTACTTTTCATGCAATTTTCTTAAGCTTCATTCGAAGTAGACTTCTTAACCATTAATTACTTCCCCCGGAAGGTTGCAGCAATAACTGTACTACATTCGATTCACCCACGCCGTTCCGATTCTATGAACGTTTGGATGGCACCTCATACACATTGTCTTGAACAATCTGCCTAAATAAGGACCTGCTAGATATAGAAGCATACAAAAGTCTCAGCGAAAAATAAAATATTGGAAACTGGGGAGACATTTTTAAAGGTTTTATCACTTCCAGTCTAGTGTCTTGTTATAGATGTATACACGCAGATATAACTGAGTCTGTTAGTATTTGGCGAAATATAACGTTAAGTAAACCGGTTTCACAAATGATTAAGAATTTTGATCATTTCTGGGTAATCCTAAATCTTAGCCATCTACTAAAACAATGAAAAGTAGTCGTTCTCTCCATAACTTGTACATCACCTCTTATTTATCGTTCTCTCTCTCTCCGGTTTCTTTCTCTCTCTTTCTATATATATATATATATATATATATATATATATATATATATATATATATATATATATATTATATATATTTTCATAAATATATAGACAAGTTTTGTCTATCTTATGTAAATTCTTTTCATATCGTCTGATAAGCTTAATAGCATTATCATTAAAAGATGAAAGAAAATCGCCATATTGATACATATTTTTCAATCCTATCTAAGCTTTCGGCTTACATTAGTCATTATCAAAGATGACAATTACATTACAATATATTAACCAATACACGGACAAACAATGATAGTCTTTTATTTGCATGGAAGATTTCCAACCAACGACAATCCCGTGCATACGAGACGCTGAAAGCGAAAATCGCACCGCAGCTCATGATATCACACATGGCCACGCGAGAGTGGAAACGAGAAGTATTAAGTACGGGAAGCCGTTGGTATAAACCAATAGCTTCTGTTATCAATTATAGGCATATGTGGAGATTTCATAGTTTATTTTGTTCAAGTTAGGTTTCAACTATTTTATGTATATAGCTTCAAGAATTTTTAGTTTTTGTTTATTGTTTTCATGTTTAAGTATAGTTGTGTTTTCAACGAGGATTTTTTGGAATTGTGTACGGGGGCAGGCATGTTGTTTTAAATGACTAAAAATGTTAGTTTTCATTCAAATGTAGAGTCAAACGTCGTGAAAGCGAGTTTGTGGTGTGTCCAACATAAATATTATTTAATCCGTTGTAGATACAATCTCCCAAAGAGCATTTGAATTTGTAAACTATGTTGGTTTTTTTTTTTTCGTCTAATATATATATATATATATATATATAAATTTTGAATAATCTCTTTTTGAAAAATTAGTTTTTTTTTTAAAAAAAAATTTTAACATTCTTATACATTGACACAAAGGTAAATTTATATGATATATATATAAAAAATTGTGTGTTGTTAATATATATTATAAAATTTTAAATATAGGGCTAAAATGACTAGTTAGGTGATTCCCTCAAAAATGAAAAAAAATAGATCAAATATATGATGCGAAAATAGATTCCCAAAATACGAATATTATTTATTGAAAATAGAATAGAAAAAAGATAAAATTTAGGGATGACTATTGACGTTCTTATCGATTATGATATGAATAAATAGAGAGATATGAATAAAGAGAGATAGATGTGACTATTTTTCCAAGACTAGCAACAATATATATAATATTTTAAATATATATATATAAAATTGAAAAAAATATAACTGTATTAACAAGGTTTTTCAATTCTGTTTCAAATCTTAACAAAATTCTTTAGAATAAAATATTATGGAAATTCCAGTAATTTTGAATTGGGTTCATTTTCTTAATCGCAGAGAGCGACATGAGCATGAGATTTTTTTGTTTTTTTGTTTTGTTAGATTTTGCTG